CGCCTGGGTTCGATGGAACCCAGGCGCGGGTCCTCGAACCCAGTAGGGGAGGGGGAGGGGAAGGGGAAAAGGAAAGAGAAGGAGAAAAAAAAAAGGAAAGGAAAGAAAAAAAAGAAAAAAAGAGAAATTTTTATTTATTAAATTATAATTAAAAATGCCAAATCACCATATTTTTATAATTAAAAATACCATGTCACTCCTTTTATTTCCAGGTAATATTTAATAATAATAAAAATTGAATTTGTTAACGGTAAATTTTGCCATGTCAGCATTTAACTGACGGAAGGACAAAATTGGTTCCAAAAATTAAAGTTTAAGGATATTTTTAGTACTTTTTGAAGTTCGAAGGTAGTTTTAGTCCAAAAATGAAAGTTAAGGGACTGAATCGGGGATTTAACCAAAAAAATTGTCATCAATTGGGTGAGGGGTATTGTCCACATAAGCTTGTAAAAATTAAGAAAAAGGTGATTGGAGGAGACTTAACGTGCCATGTGTGTAGTTCCGTGACGGAAGGACAGTTTGGGTTCCAGAAAAATAAAGTTTAAGGATGATTTGGGTGCTTTATGATGTTAAAGGACGAACTAAGTTTCAAATAGAAAGTTTAGGGACCAAATTGGGTATTAAACCAAAAAAAAGCAGCCCATCCTTATCTAATTTCTTTTCTTTTTTAAGTCCCTCAAGTTTGAGAATTTTCACTATTAAGCCTCAGACAATATTTTTTTCAAAATAAATCCCTAACTTAAATGATAAAATTCCCAGAAATTTGGGATATTACATATAGTTAAATTGTAAGAGAAATAGGGAAAGTATTTTAGGTAGGCCTTACTTGTTTCTGTTCATGTGTTGTTTGTGTATTAGTTAATTGTTTCTGTAACTGTTGCATTTTGAATTTTACATGCCATTTGGCTTATGAGATTAGCATTCTCCTTTTAGCCTTGTGGAATCTTATTTGAATGTTTTATTGATTTCATTACAGCTTCACCTTTTACATGTTTGAAGGATCACCCTAGAAAGAGTGGAAAACTCACCTTGTCACTTAGTGGTACATCGGCTGGAGCAACCGATTCACTTGATCATATATTTTGCTCTTACACACTCAGGCACTTGTAGTGGTGCAATTGTGGAAGGTTTGTTTTGTCCCAGTCATTTTGATTGTCTTTAGAAGCTGGAGCCCTTTCTTTGAACAATGGATTTCACTCACTCTTCCAATGAACAATGGAAACTTTCTTAAGTTTTTCTGGTATTTGACTTCATCAGATGCTTTTAATGTTGGGCGGTCAAGTCAATGTTACTAGTTACTAATGTGCAGTCACCATCGAAGCTGATGTAGTGATAATAGCTTTCAGGTCAATAAGTTAGTTGGGTTTTGCATTATAACGTGCAGCTATTTCATGTTAGATTGTGACAAGATTGAATGATCTTGTCGATCCCCATTCGCATTTTCTATTATATTGGTATCTGATTAAGTAAATGTAATCTCATCTGTTAGACTTTCAGAAGATAGAAGAAGGTCCTCGGTGGAAGCCATTTTGCCAAAAGTCAAAAGAAAAACGTCAATGATAGACTTATTATGAGAATTCTTTGATGGTGACAATAAAAGATAGAGGTGGAGCTTGTAAGAATCTTAACAGTTTTCACAATCATTGATCTCTCAAGCCATAGATTCCATGGACAGATTCCTGAAGAGCTGGTTGAACTCAGTTCACTTCTAATACTTAACTTCCCTTGCAACAGTCTCACAAGCAAGGTTTTGAAAATCGAACCGGATTGGTTGGTCGAATTGGTTGAACCGATACCCGGTAGTATAAACGGTTCGGTTCTATCCTTTAAACCGTTTGAAGATCAAATCGTTTGAAAACGGGTAAGAACCGTTAGAACCGCTCAAACCGAAAAATCGTTCGACCGGACGGTTCAATGCTTGAGAACAAAAGCTTGAGAAATTTGTCCCCCATGAAGCTTGAACCTGCAACCTTGAAGTCCTTTTGGTTTTTTCCAACCTTTTGCCACCAGGACAATGGACTCCGTTTGTCAATGGATGCTTGAAATTTTATTTAATCTATTTTTAAAACCATAATTACTAAGTTTGTTCATAAGGGTACTCGAACTCGTGATCTTTGGTATGAAAAAACAGCTACCTACCATCGCACTCAATGGATACCTTATGAAATATTTTGCAAAATAATATTTATACTATATTAATGAATCGGCGGTTTTACCGGTTAAACCGATTAAACCGGTCAAACATTGAACCGGAGGTCAAAACGGTTTGACCTCCGGTTCAAGTTTAAAAACATTGCTCACAAGTTAAGTTCCATCATCTTTGGAGAAATGGGCAGAAGTTGAATCAGTAGATCTCTCGTCAAACAAGATTGATGGTAGGATTCCTGAGCAGTTGGCAAGTCTGACATTCTTTTTAGTTTTGAACTTTTCATACAAAGGAAAAATCAAGACTTTATTCTCTTGAAGTCCAAATACAAGTTTCTGTGTTTCCCCTTTCTCTCTCTCAACTCTCGGATCTCTCTTCCTCAAATTTCGAATCCCTCTCAAAGCCGAAGCTTCCCCTTTTATACAAAAATAGGGAGAACTCAAACCCTTTTCTAATTCTAAATTCTTATCCCAATCCCTAAAATTACAGATAATGATCTAGCTCTATTAGAATTTGGAATTCTAAAACTAATCTAGTTCTTTACACATCTTCCCTCTTTTAAGGCTAGATTCATACCTTTAAATATCAGGACTCCCAATTTGAATCGACTTCGAAAACTTCTTCTGTGACTCTTGTTGAAGACTTCTAATCTGGATATTTCTTCTTGCTGAAGTAGTATTTTATCCAAAATCGAGTAGATTTAGGGATAAATCAAAGGAATTCAAGAATTTTGGGAGAGTGGCTCACGGCAAGAAGAAGAATCGTGAAAGTGAGGGGCTAGGGTTCATCTGAACCCAGCCCCCCTTTTTTTTTCCAGCCTTCAAGTAAAACGACGTTGTTTTGCTATCTCTTCCCCTCAGCCCTTTAAGTTTCATGCTTTTATAAAAATAGTCCAATGACTTTTAACTTTATCATTTAGCCCCAATTAAAATTGGGTTATGACACTTGGTAACATTTTGGATGGACAGCCCCATTACTTGGGGTTAGGTGTTGCCAATGCCTTAAACGTTGGGATAGCATAACCACTAAAACAGAAGGGAAACTATTGAAATTCGTTGGCATTCCGGGCTTTATTTCTTGACATTTTACTGGTGGAAGATGGTACACTTTTGACTGTTGAGAGATGATAAACACCTGCAAAACAAACCAGCATTAGAGCTTAGTGAGAGATAAGAATTGTTCTCCGGCATTCAATGTAAGATATGAATTTTTAAAAGAAATACTAGGGACATATGGGTGAGAAGAAAGCTGGAGGAAGAAGATTAATTTGAGAGAAGCAGGAAGAGTTTGTGCGAGAGAGAATGAGTGGAGATTTTCCGTAAAATCTAACACTTTAAAAGGTATTTTAACAGTTAAATTATACTATTTTTTCATTTAAAATTTTATTACATTATTTTTTAATATAATAATAAATATTTTATAGAGATAAGTCATTAGCCCTCTTACATCATCTTGGATTGATTTATAAAGATATGTCTTA